TATATTGAGTAAAAATTATTATTTTCTATTCTATTCTTTATGTTGTTAGAAATATGTACGGGGCTAGGAGAAAATATTTAACACCTTTTAGTCAAATTCAATAAATTGGTATTTTAAAAAAATATTTTTATTTCAGGGTATCAGCACGAATTGGACGGCTCGACCGTGGAAGGACCACGCTCTCACAAAATACCAGGGTAAAATAGCAGGTCTCAATGCTGGAGAACCAGAGGCTCTTTTCACTGGTGACGAGGCATTCCATCTTAATCCTAAGGGGTGACAGCGCATCTGCATTTTGTTTCTTAATTGAGGATAGACGTAAATGTCTATGGGTCATAGCATCCACTTATCATCATGTGGGCCATGTGCTCATTTGTCACCCTTATTATATAACAAAAACAAATTTATTTTGTGTTTTTGTTCTGTCATTCAGTTTTGCGCTATATTTGAAGTTTCAAGTCTAGCACATCGGGAAGTTCAATATCGAATGCATACTTTTTACCGAACTTAAAAGCAAGCAAATACATAAGAAAGTGAGTTAGTATCGCATTGTTATCCAGGTCTGAGCTACATTAAAAGTTTGAAGTCTCTAGCCCATCGGGAAGTTACTTCAGAATTACAAAATGATTACAAAATGTGTACCGAATAGATAGATAGACAAAAAAGAAGTTGATAAAGAACATTTTATAAATACAGCAAATCGTCACTTCTGAAATTTACAACTTTATCTTAAAGTTATATATATATATATACGTATAGAACTGTCTAGACTTAACCCTACTGTGAGAAATTAAAACAACAGCAGCAGCTGTTGTCAGAACGAAAATCAATATTGCAGTCTTTGTCACAGCAATATTTTATGGTTTAAGAAAATATACAAGTATATATAATATAGTAGGTGTCGTAGGCGAGTACGGCAAATGCTAGATACATGTTATGGCTTCTGATAGATGGTATAATAACACCATATTTACGTAAGGCGTAATATACTCAGGTTGGCGATATGGAGCAACTTAAAATGCGAGACGTCTGTTACGTACTGGCAATCAGCCTGCCAAGCTTAAGGCATATATTTATAAAACAACAAAATAAATCCTCTTTACAGACTCATATTACTGAGTACACTCAGACCAAAGGAATAAGATAGATGATGTAGCGCGTAATGTTAAAAAGTAAGCCAGAAAAAGAAACACCAAAATACATATCTAGTATAATTTATAAGGTTGGCTGAGGAATTTTAAAAAAACGCTCCGAATCACGCTAGTGAACACTGTGGGCTACTATTATTTTGTTATTATGAGGTATTCATTTTTGGCTTCATTTCACACTTCTACTCTGCCTATTCTTACTTGTTCTGTTGGTCTGAGATTTAGTAGTGGACTCTTAGGAGCTGATGAAGAAGAAGAATAATAGTAGAGAATTATTTATTTCGATATATATCTTAAATTATTATAAATCTATAGGGTTATTTTTCAAAGAGTAGCCAAATTTTATATTCAAGTTCAAATACATATAAATAATCATATGCAGTTTTTGAAAATACGAGTAAATGAGGCTTCTATTTTTTTTGAAGTTATCCCAAATTAAGGCAACAACATTTTTGTCTAACGATCGACTCTTACAAATGTGTGCGTGCGCAGTAAAATCAATTAAAATAATTCATTATCACACATTTTTAATTTAAAATACCAAAAGTACTAAATTATTAAAATTTTAATTAATTAATTTTTCTTTCATTTGCTTATTCAGAGAAGGCTGCAATATTCGCCGGTTATTGCAAAATAACCGTGTATATAATGAAAAAAAAGTAAGTGTATTACTTAACAAAAACAAGTCTAATCTGTACTTTGGGAGCTTGGAGCACGGATTAGTTTGTAATTAAGCGGATGAACCATATTAGATTGCCATATGATAAATTATGTTGAGGCTTTCACACAAGCGATTAGTAGGGATTGAGCAGGTGCTTAATTGAAAAGTATTTTATGTTTATTTTAATTGGTAATTTTCATTTTCCCTTAAATATATTTCTTACCGCTTAAGTATAAGTTTTAATTGTTTAAATATCTGCCAAATATTGTTGGAAAGTTGATATAACACATTAATTTTAATGTAATTACCGTCAACTTAATAACTCAGTGGCATGTTCATATTTAAACCCTTTAGAAGTTTCGGCTTAAATGCCACTTTACATAAATTTTAAATTGAAATTAAGAAATTACTGAATGTGATTAATTACGAAGTTTGGAAAACTAAAATCCAAAAATCTCGTATTATCATATAATTTTACAATAAATAAAGCACGAGTGTAAATATAGGAATGTATACATAACTACTCGCATTAAAAATAATTATAATAGAAAATATTTTTCAATATTTATCACAAAAAAGTTAAGTAAACTTCATTATAAAGTTTTTTTTTGCATACAAATGTCAATATGTGTGCCAAATTTCATACCAATAACCGTTAAAGCGTTCCTTTGGGAAGAGGCGACCCCGCTTTCAGCATAAGATCAACTTTCACGTTTCTCTATTCAACCACAACATAATATTAGAAGTTCCACAACTTTTATAAAGCCTGTAAATAAACGAAAAGTTTTTAAATGCAACTAAGCCATACATAGATGAAACTTAATTTTTTTTTAATGAACATGTTCTTGGTACCATTTCATTTATTTACTACAAAACTATCAATAAATGCAATACCTAAGTGTTTAAATCAAATAGCCAAAACATTTTTAGTATAAACCTTCTTATTACCATTAAAACTAATAAAAATGTTTAATCCCCTAATTCAAAAAGCAATTAAAAATTTAAAATGAAAGCAAAAATTCTTTTCCATTTTCCCAAAAATTTTCTTTGCAATTTTAATCAACAAACTTTATAAATTAAAGTTTATTTTTTGGCGATCATCTTTTAATTTTCTATTTTGAAATGGTCCATTAATCCCTTCTTATCAAGGAAGTCTGCAGATCAGAGGCGCTGGGAGATTAAGAGATCGCCTCAAAAATTTCATAAATTGTGAGCGAACCCCGAGTCCCTAGGGCACCAATTAAATTATTATTTGCAATTGGAAGATTATGAAAAATTAAGAAAAATATATCTTAATAACATGTAAAGTCCACCAACACACATACAAGCAATGCGGTTTACTCTACATTGACCAAAAAAGCCCTCTCAGAGAAGGATTTTATGTTATGACGACGAGTAAAGTTACAGACTATGTACTTGCTTCTCTCATTTCTGTGAGCGATTAGTTCAATGCTTGTTCACGGGTTCAAATATTTTATTCTTCAGACAGGTTTCTTCACGATGTTTTCCTTTATCGTCAAGCACGTGGTAATCAGCACAAAATTACTATACAAATACATAGTACGCGGCGGGCCAAAACCATGTAATGACTTGATTTTAATGTAAATGTTTATTTATTATTGCTGCAGTAGGCACATACCATCAGGTGCAACTTACAGTTCTTTTGTTACTTCAATTAAAAAAATAAAAGTAAAGACGTGTTTTGATAATTTCTTCAACTGTCATTTAAGAAAAAACAGTCGTAAACTATGAAAACGGGTCGATAACTAAAACTATATCTAAATGAAATTAGCTATTTGTTTGTTTTTTCTATAAAAGTTTTCGGCTGGATGGGCTTCTCCCGATAAAGAGAGGATTTGCCATAATCATCACGCTTGACAGGCGAGTTGACGATGGCAGTACCAGACGTTTCGCACAGTTAACTTCGAGATGATCATACAACTATCTATCGCCAGAAAAGCTTTCTACCATATTGCAAAGTCGCTTTTTTGCTCTTTGGTAGATGATTCTTCACCCCAATTCTTTCCGTGGGTAAAACGGTGCACTTTTGATTATTTGTTAGTTCAAAGCACACTGAATACGTCCGCACGACACGGCTGTCGACGGTCGAATATCCTCACCTCTTATCTGCTGTAACTAGACGATTGAATATCCCCACCACTAAAATGTTGTATACTACATCCCCTTCGCGTTAAAATAAAATAACTGTTAATATGACATTGAAAAGACTTTCTCTTATGTTCTTATATACATATAATCTTATGTTTGAACCTAAGCAGATTCAAATATTAATTAAATTGATAATTAGTACAATAATAGACATCAGACGTGTTTCATTTTCTACACTCTAATCGATAATTTTCCACTCACCGTTTTCTACTCTTTTAAGGTGAACAACATTCCTGCGATATTCTTTTCCCGTTGAGTCATTCCTTACCCTAATATCTCCACCGTTTATGTAAGTTACTGTATGAGTGTCTGGGTTAAATTTAAGGGTTAATTTATTTTCATTAATCATTTTTTTTACGTATACTTTTTTACCGATTTCAAAATAGATATCTATTGCTTTCCTTTTCCTGTCCACATATTCCTTTCCCTTTTCTTTTTTTTTTCTTTATCCCTGTCTCTTACATCCGAATCTATAATTTTATGTTCTATCAGGGCTGCTACTATACATAATAAGGTATTCTAAAAGGTCATCTTTCCATTATATTTTATTCTGCACTCTTTGCAGAATGCCTTGAAGATCTCGCTAGTAAATTGCTTACCATTATCACATGTGAGCGTCGCAGAGTATCCCAATCGGGAAAATATTTCTTTAAGATTCTTAATCGTTCCATTAGCGGTAATTTTACTCATTATTTTTATCTTCTTGCAGCGACTGTATTAATCCAATCTTATACTAGAATATAATAGACTGTAGCCCTAAAAAGTGTATTACCACGTCAATCCAAAGCTCAACTAGAAGTTCGGGTCTCTTTGTCGGGTTAGATGCCGAAGTGAGTGTGTACACTTTGCAAGCTTTGACTCGATTTTCAGCATCTTTATCAATTTTCGGCCACCAGACCTTGAAGGGCAGCCTTGAGTAACTCGGCCACGTAGCTGTTTAGGTATAATGACTTTGCTTCCTCTTAGGGCTGTTTCCATGGAAACAAATCTCTGACTCGAAAACCTTATAAGCATTTACAGATTCATCCCACTTGTTGTCGAAAGCTCCATTTTAATCCTGCAATTTCTTTGTCTGATGCACTAGCTATATCAATTTCATTTAGTGGTACTGCTATTGGCCTACTGTATTCTACCACTGCATTTATATAGTTTTCATTATCGAATGGTACTAGATGAATCGATTCACAATGTCGGGAGATAGCATCAGCGATATTTTCTTTGCCTGGACGGTGAATACCCTTGTACTTGTAGGTGTGCAGCCACAGAACCCAACGCTCTATGTGCACACAAAGCTTAAATCTGATCCCAAAAATAGCTTCTAGGGGCTTGTGATCACTAATTAGTTGGAATTCTTTGTCCAATAGATATATTTTTAAATGCTTTACTGCCCACGCCAGCGGTGATGTGCCTACTGTATTCATCTGTCTCCATTGGTGGAAAGCATTCTATATATCGAGTTGGAAAAAACATTTAGCTTGCCTGAAATTGGGCAAGATTTCATCCAATTTCGGGAGTGGGTGATTTTCCCTTTCTCCTCATGTCAATGCATATCCGTATATCATAGTTTTCTTTTAGTACTGGCACCCCAATGGTGCCAGTACTACTACTAAGATACCCACGGTGATGGTTTATTGACCTCTTCAATTATATCAGCTTCTTTAAGTTCGGCTAGCTTCTTGTTCACCTTTTTTTCCAAAGGAATTGGTATTCTTCTGTACGGTTGAATTACCAGCTTCACTCCCTTATTAATAGGAATCTGGATTATAATGCCTTTGAATTTGGGAAAGGTACTGATGTTATTGACAGGAACATCAATTCTAAGAGCGTCGAATTGAATTGCGCTTGTCTTTTCTAAAAGGTTATGTGTCCCATTCCGAATCACATAGAAAGTTGCTTTTTGTATAATGCGGCCATCAATTTTTATAGTAACATGAAAAGCACCGAGTAGATCTAAAGGTTTTTGATTACCAAAGGGTAACAATATCTTCCCAGGATTCTTAATTTGATTTTTTCTCATTTTATGGCTTTTCAGGTGTTTCCATATCTTTTCTGTAATAATATTTCATTTACTACCCGAACCAATCAGCATATTGTTACGGGCTTGGGGCTTAAAGACAATTAAAAACTGCCGAGTGAATTACCAAAATCGACACTTTAATTACAGAATACTAATTACTACTTAAAACTACACTAATAACAAAACACAATTGTACTACAGATCACTTTAGTTCGCAGTTGTATCGTTTCGAAGTATTAGCTTGTATCGTTTCGAAGTATTAGCTTGTATCGAAAATTCAATACTGATTCGGTCGCGGTCTATACCGGCCTTATATAGGTAGTTTTCAGAACCGTCTACTATAGAAACTTCTAGAATGTTCGAGTACATATCGGTCCCGAATGACTAGGTGTCAATAGTTCTAGAAAGTTCTTCCATTGAAATTTCTAGAATGTTCTTGACTCTCCTAGTTCAACTACTCGATACTTGAGAGCGCTAGTGGTAACTAGGGTCGCCATGTACTATGTAATAATCGTGGCGCGCAACAATATCTATGATTACACCACCAACTTTGTAATCGATAGCTGCATCGTCATCTCATTGGAAAATATAGTCCACTTCTTCAGCATTTTTCTTTGTTAGTTTGTTAAATTTGTATCTCTTTGTGTTAATAATATCATCATTCTTTGAGTTAGTTTTCCGTTTCTGTTCAGAACTATTCCTGCAATATTTATTATAATGCCCAATGATTCCACATTTCATTTATTTTTTGTTCCTTGCTAGGCAACCATTATCAAACGATAAGTGTTTGCTGCTGAAGCCTGAAGCAATTCTTGAACGAATTCCGAGTTGATGGTAATTTCTTGTTTTGTAGTCTGTTAATTTCACATTTGTTTAAATCGTAAACTTTACTTGTCTATCAAACTTATCTAATTGTCTTTAAATATGTGTGTATATTATATAGACTCATAGTCTATTCACCGTTTCTAGTGTAATAGCAATAATTATTACTTGCTGAAGAGTGATACTATCTCCTCCGGTTAAGATTTTCTTTCTTAATTCCGCACTTTGACCTTTTTCGACAATTTGGTCGATTATATTTTCATCTTTAGCGGTAAAATGGCAATTATTGGCTTGATTTCTCAACCTTACTAAAAATGTTTCAAAACCTTCCTCCTGTTTCATCAGTCTAAAAATATATCTTTCGTAATATCTGTTTTGTTTTGGGGAAAAATATTCACTTAATTTCTTTATAGCAACTTCGTATACATCCACGTTATCGGCCTCATCCATGTGAGCCCCTGGTAAGTTGTAGTACACTTCTTGCAGGGCGAGTTCACCAACGTTCAAGAGTGTAGCTCGCTTTTTTCTACTAGATTCAATATTGGTATTTCTAGGGCTCTCTTCCACTTTCCCCATCTCACCTCAACTGAAACCGGATCACCTTCGCACTCAAAATGGTTAAGACCCAGAAACGCTGATGCTATCTCGGCCATTTTGGGTGATCTGTAACAATCGCGTCACAATTCACAATATATTAACATCTACACCAAGAATCGTGGAACCAAATTATCAAAACATTATTATTTTTCTCATATTGACGTTTCAAATTAGTACGATCTCTCATATTGACCTTTCAATTTAGTACGGTCTCTCATTTTGACCCTTCAACTTAGTACGCTCTCTCATATTGACCCTTCAACTTGGTGCGGTCTCTCATATTGATCTTTGACAGTTTACCTATTATCGTAGCCTATCTTACTGACCTTCCAAAGACATAATATCACAATTACGCGGTATTTAAAATACCACCCAATAATATTTTCCTTTTCCAATCGATCGAATCAACTTGTATTTATTGGATTACTCGTTATAATTAACACATATTAACACATTTTGTGTTTAAGTATCCAAAAATAATTACTTCACTTCCTGCACTAGTAGTAGTAGTTAGTTTTTTAAATTCGCTACATTAAGAGAATAGTTGAGTGTCTTACTTTATGCCTTTTCATTACTATATTCTACTAAATTTAATATGATAAACTTGCTTTATTTCGCTAACTAACTGGTGTAGTACGGTATCAAATGAATGTATCATGAAATAGTATATGTAAATAAACCAACCGGTAGGTTCTGGTTTATAATAATTAAAATATCAACGTAATTTATATACAATACCCAAAGGTTTTATATTTCAAAAGTCTTATACTTTTGTATTACAATTTGGAGGGTATGTTCTAACAAAATTTTTAATTTCAGTATTTTCACACTTTCATAAACTATCTTTCCCTTTTAACAAGATATGAAGTTTCAACTTACGTTTATTCTCGTCGCCACTTGTAAAATTCTCGAAATACTGACACTAGGTATAGGTACACTTCATCAATCCGTTAGTTCGAAGCACACCGAATACGTCCGCACGCCACGGCTGTCGATGGTCGAATGTCCTCAACTCTTATATGCTATAACTAGACGATCTAAAAACTCTACCACTAAAATGCTGTATACTACAGGCTACAATCAATGAATGGAACAAATCACATCACTTACCGTGATGCGCAAGCTTTCCCCATCAAGTAATGTGCCGAGATTAGTTGATGGTAAAGCGTATAATCAGTGACTATATTCCTTAGTCAAAACAGCTAGAAAATGTGCCTGATCTTGTTCACTATGGAAATTATAAAACAAATCTTTCTATACGTTCTGTACCAACGGAATATACTACTGTTTTGTTGGTTAACTTCCAGTGAAACATTTTCGCTGAAACAAAGCGTTCGCCATGTCTGTCTTGCCTCCGTAGCGAAGCACATGTCTACTTTATTATTTAAAATTATGTTACATAAATAACTGACACAATGCAAGGAAGCAAGGAAAGCAGGTAATGCAACGCTAGAAAAATTTCTCACAACAATACATCCAAATGTTATTGGTAAAGTAGTTTTAGTCCAGCTTGTTGTATTTAAAGTTAAATTTAGATTTTTTCCTATAGCTATTTTAAGATTATTATGAATAACTTTTAAAATATCCTTAACATTTCCAGACTGGACTCGAGCGAAGTAAGTATGTAAATCTAGGTACAAGGCGACAATATTTTAAAACAGTAAGAGCAATGTGGGGTTTTAATTTATACAATTTATCAACTTGGTTTAAAAACTCTTACATGGTAGAGGCATGCTGCAGCTATATTAGTAGTAGGTATAGTTGTAGCACGAATGGGTCGGCTCGACCGGGGAAGGACCATGCTCTCACAGAATACCAACGTAAAATATCAGCTTAACGCTGCTGTGTTTCGTATGGTGAGTGTAGAGAACTGGAGACCCTTTTTACTGGAAACGAGGCATCACATCTTAGTCGTTACGGATGACAACGCATCTGCATTTTATTCGTAATCGAGAAAAGATGTATATGTCTATGTGCCGCAGCAACCACTTACCATCAGGTGGGATGTGTGCTCGTTTGTCACCCTTATGCTATATAAAAAGAACTGAACAAATTTTAATTTTAAAACAGGTTTAATACTATAGAAAAACAACGGGGCACCGATCAGGTATAGCGATTCCGTACTAACAGTTTTGATTCCTGAAGAAATATTTAAATTTCGAATTAAAGTGTCTCTAGTAGAAATAGATAAATGGCTGGAAAATAATATTTAATATTTATTGCCATTTGGTTCAAGACCAATATTTTTAAAATTTCGAAATTTCTAAAAATATGAATAAGATCACTGAGGACGTCATCTGCTCTACCTTCCAGCGTACCGTCGTCCAGGTACCAGATGCGTTAGCTTGGATTTCAAATTTGAAATAATGGGTTGAACTCCCAAACTGAAAAGCGCTGGACCTAGTGGGTCACCCTGCTGAACACCGACAGCAGACTCGACAAATGGTTTTCGTATAACAAGTTAGTATTTTGACTGTTACATTGCCAAACGTAATTGCAAAACTTCTTTTTCAGAAATTTGTAAAGGTTGCATAGAAGTCTTGGGAGGCAGCGGTAAACTTTGAGAAGAATTGACCGAAGGATGCTTCTGACGAAGGCCTTCAAGAGTTTTGACTTTACGAGGAGCAAAGATGTCGTCTAAAAATAAAATACGGGATGTATTTTTTAAGTCGCCATCCATTATTTTCGACTCAACTACTTTTTTAAATCAAATTTAGGACGAGGTCGAGATAAATGAGCATTAATTGGGTAAAAGGTAAATTTTGAAAAGATGTCTCTTTTAGTTGTAACGTAATTGATTTATTTACTCGTATTGTTGATGTGAACGTTATTTAACTTTCACATACTCGTAATATGTTATTTTCACTCGCACGCATTTTTATGTTTTTTTAATAGCGTTAACGATCGTAGAAAGTCATCTTGGCTAACACCGCAGATGTATACTTCTCTAATCAATAAATGATAATACAAAGATTATCTTTTATT